AGACAGTCGTGTGACCGGACCATCAGACCTCTAGAAGGTACAATGTCGGAGACAGTCGTGTGACCGGACCATCAGACCTCTAGAAGGTACAATGTCCGAGACAGTCGTGTGACCGGACCATCAGACCTCTAGAAGGTACAATGTCCGAGACAGTCCTAAACCACCACGGAACAAACTCATCACTACAGTCCTGGTTCCGAATGCGGTCGTATGGTACGTTTGCTGTCAGCAAATTGGGAGGAATTTTCTTTGTGTTCTTTGTACAAGAACGTTCTTCAGAGAGGGAGGAGGACATAGGTGGTAGACACAACCAAGTAGAGAGAGAGGCAGAGAGAGAGAGAGAGAGAGAGAGAGAGAGAGAGAGAGAGAGAGAGAGAGAGCTCTCAGAGAGGGAGGTGAACAAAGGTGGTAGACACAGCCATGTAGAGGGAGAGAGAGTTCTCAGAGAGGGAGGAGGACAGAGGGAGGGAGATTCTATCAGTAAATCAGACTGATTGTGGACAAAACGGAGTAGCATTTACGTCAAGATAACATCTGAATAATTTGTCCAATTGTAGGTGTGGAAAGGTGTTGCTTCTCTTTCAGGGAGGTCGCAGAGACGAAGGGTTGGATGAGGAGAGGGAGGGAGAAGATGGTCGGAATGTTTGTTGATCGAGTTGGTCACAACAGAATCCTTGATTTTTTAAAACAGAAAATTGCAAATCCAGTTATTTTGAATTTAAGTAGGCTATCATTTTTAGATTGATATCTTACCTCAAGTTGTTAACATGTCGTTCTAATCTGATGTTGCCCCTGAGCCAAGCCGTGCAGTGAACTGTTCATGTTGTCAATGCTGCCAACTTGTGTTTCGTGCGCTCATATGGCCTTATGCAGTTGCGAGCGCCGTAAAACCCTTACTAAAACTAAAACTAGAACTAATATAAAGGAGAACATTCTACGTTTGTAAATGTTTTCAGCTCTGGAGCGCAAACCTTGTTTTGCGCCACTGCAGAACATTGCTGTTGTTCCGTTCTGAACAAGTTTGCCTTGAGACAGATGTTGTTTCCGTGTAAGATTTCGTGACGTTTTTCCATCTCAAGTGCGGTTCTCGTAGCCTTTATGTCTGTCTTACTGTTAGCCATGTTGCTGTGGTCGCTGTTTTGGCTCAAATTCGGTTGTTGTTTTGTTTGTTTGTTTTTTGTTTGGTTATTTGTTTTTTTTTTTCTTGTTGTTTTGTTGTTTGTTTATTTTGTTGTTGTTTTTTTATCGTGGGGCGGGAGGGGGGTGGTTCTCTCAGGGGAAGATTTACTTTACATTAGACAGGTGATAATATATCTACCTTTTACATTTCAGAAAAACTGTCTGAGGTGGAGATCGAAGACGACAACGGCAATGATGAAATAGAGGAGGCGGACGACGAGGTGTAGGTAAATCACCACCACCACCACCACCACCACCATCATTACTACAACTAAAATAACCATCTCTCCCAACATCTTTACAATCATCATCACCACCACCATCACCATTATCACCAAAAAGCAATAACTACCACAACAACAACAATAACAACAACAACAACAACAACATCCACAGCAACAACAACAACAACAACTGCATAAGCAATAACAACAACAACAATAGCACCAACAACAGCAGCAGCAAAGCATGAACTCACTGTTCAACAAAAAAAGAGCGCCAGAAAACGACATCAGGTCATCTGAGTGCTTCATCATTCAGCAAACGTCGGGCCATACTCCAATCTTACCTCTGACCCTCCTCCTCTCCCCCTCTCCCTCTCTCTCCTCTCATCTCACCTCTGCCCCCC